CATCATTATATCATTATCATACATTACCATTATTATTATTTCGTTCACATATTGTTTCAAAACGTATTGCAGCCAATAAAGATGTTAATATTATTGGTGGTTGTAGTGCTGCTGCTGCTGCTGCTGCTGCTGGTGGTGGCAAAAAATATTTCAATTCCGCCGGGTTATTTAATCATAATCATTTGAAATCAAAAAACAAATGATTTTTATTATTATGAATAAACTTTTTGTTTACAATTTTTTCAGTGATAAGCGATTATCACGAATTTGTTTGAAGATGTTTTTGACAGCCTGATCACAGAAATACATGTATAAATCTTTAGATCATCATCATAAGATTGACAGTGATTTGGCTACCTGATCATTTTGTCAATGATGATGATGTTTGATTAATTAATCGTAATGTTATTGTTCTTTCATTCTCAATTTCTATTTTGAATCTGTCAATAAAATTTTTAAATTTCCTGACATCAGTATATGCTGAACTACGCCAAAACGCAGGACAAGATCAAAATCAGGATTTTTTTCTCCTAATTTCCATTTTGCAAAATTATATGATAGAAAACGACGAAGAAAAACACTTGACAGCCAAATAGAGAGAGAGAGAGAGAGAGAGAGAGATGATTCATAGCATCCCCAATCATTTTTTTTACCACTGAATTGATGACACATCTTTATCCCGTTTGTTTTGTTTTCTTCTTCATATTCATCTAAGACGAAATTCAAAAAAAAACTTGATACCTGGATGGTTGGTTGAGGGTTATTGATTATACATAAACGTTTTCTCTTCTTCATCATCATCATTTGACATCCCGAAAAAAATATATTTACATAACAATTTTGAAATCGGGAAGTTATGTTTCGTTGATGCATCATTTTTGCTTTTTTTCTGACATTATTTCAACTGTCAATATCAAATTAAAATCTTCTTGCTTTCTATGCTGATAATATTGAACAGCACCTAGGTGCTAACTTTTTTCTAACATTGTTGTTGTTGTTGTTGTTGTTGTCCAAAGTTGATGTGATTTTAAATTGTAACAAACAACAACAACAACAACAACAACAAAAAATTGAAAAATCAATCTTGAAAAGTTGAAAAATACACACATAGAGAATCCATTTCGATTAATTTTTTTTTCTGTAAATTAAGATTCACCACCAACAACAACAACAAAAACAGTGAATGAGAAAACAACAAGATTGATGCTGCTTACCCAACATTATCATCATAAGCATCATTATTTTTTCTCTGGAAAAAAAGTTTTCAAACAACAACAACAACAGCATAAATTTAGGTAGCCAGGATTGAAAAAAAAGAAAGAGAAAAAAGTTCTGTTTACCCGCCGGGTATGAAAAACATCATCATCGTCATTGTGTGTGTGTTTTGAGATTTTCAGTTTTGTTTTGATTTACTTTTTACTGATTCTGATGATGATGATGATGATGATAATAGCGTTGATTGGTGGATAGCGTTAAAACCGATTAAATTTAAATTTTCTGTTGCTGTTGTTGTTGTTGTTTATAAAAAACATTTGAAAATTGATTAGAAATCTGTTGGTTGCATCAAAGAGAAAAGGATCTGATTTTTTTTTCTTCTTACATGACAAGTGGATGATTATGATGATGATGATGACAATGTGGACACCCGATCATCATATCACGATGATGATGTTTGATAGTCGCTTGGCTGATGATTTTTTTTTTGTCATAATTTTCTACCTTTTATGGAGTTTGATATCGATCAAAATGATTATATGATTTGATTCACCTTTCCTATTGGATTTGATATGCAAATGTTTTTTTTGTTGTTTATTTTATTTTTTACCTTATTATTGTTTTCCATATCGATAATTATCAAACAAAAACATCAAACTATTGAATCACGAATATTTTGATAATGATTGTTGATCTACCTTTCTTTGGATTCAAAAAAAATCTAAATCAAACATCATCATGATCATTACCGGCTTTGTTGTAGTGTTTTTGCTGTGAAGATCCTGTCTCTCTCTCTCTCTCTCTCTCTCTCTCTCTCTTTGGTTCGATCATGCTGACGCCCTGTAATTTGTTTTTTTGTTTTTGTTTTGGTTTTTTCTGTTATCAAACAAGCAAACAAGTAAAATGAATCTATCAATTAAATTTAGATTAACTTGCCATTAACGATTTAGGTGTTGTTTTTCTACTTCTTCTTCTTCTTCGAATCTCTCACCAATTTCTCGAAGGTGATCGATATCGATTAATTTGCTGTTTTGTTTTTCCAAAACGTATAAATAACCCTGAATTATTATTTGAACATCTGTGTACAAAAAAAAATATCCCTTTAGGCAATCCATTTTGATGTTTTGTGCAACCAAAAAACATTATCCTCATCATCATCATCATCATTGACAGCAAGATAATCATATTATTGTCATATGGATATTGTTGATTCTCAATCATCTCATCTAATCATCTCTGTTTGACATGATTTACATTTACATTTTGGTTTTTTTTTTGTTTGCAATCGAGTTAAGTTCATTTCAATTTTCAATTAAATTCATGAAAAATAATTAACCCTATCTTACACATCAATCACACATTGAATGATGACAATTTTGTAATATCTATGCATGTAGATTATTCCATAATGGAAATTTGTAAATAAAAATGGAATGGAATGAATGATTATAAACAAGGATAATTAATTTAAAACGTTTTCATTTAATGTTCTCCTCTACACAATTGTCATCCGGTGATGTAATTTTGTTTTTTTTCAATGATGAAACGAAGAGATGATGCTGATCATCAACAACAACAGTAAAGAAAGAGTTTTTTTTGCAATGACAAAATGGAATGATGAAATTCTAAATGAATGTGTCATATGTGACATTTGAATATTTTGTTGTTGGTTGTTTGTTTGTTTGTAAAAGTGTGTAATGAATATATGCATTGAACAGGAAAAAAGGGTTATTTTCCAAATGAATTTCAATTCCGAGTTGAAAAAAATAGGTAATTGAATTCGAATCCTTGTGTCAATTCTGTATACTTGTCTATGTTTGTTTGTTTGTTTGTTTATTTTGTTCAGTAAATTCAAATTTTTGTTGTTGTTGTTGTTGAATGATGATGTATTGCTGGTGGTGGATCATTCAATTCAATGTCAACCCTTTTATTTTTCTCTCCTTTTACTTGCCTTCGAGATGTGTTTGTTCCATTCTCTGGTCTTTTGATTGATCGGTATGAAAGACTTTGAACTTTGACCCTTTTTGTTGTT